AAAAAAAAAAAAAAAAAAAAAAAAAGAGTTGGATGCTCAACCAACTGAGCCATCCAGGTGCCCCTAAAGATCTGAAAGTCTTAACATCAAGACTATTGAGAAAGTGCAGCCATTTCACCAGACTAATTCTGTATCCAAATAACTATGATGAATATTGGTGTCATGAATTAAAAAATATACATACAAACGTCAAAAGCCTCACACTCTACTCACTCTCAAAATAAATGGATGACCTTGCTCAGCATGCATGCAGCTCGCAATGTGAATTTCACAAAATGGTGGGAATAGGATAAAGCAATATAGATAAATGCCTTCAAAGTCAAAAGCTCATAGGAAGGGAATGAGAACAGTAACATATATAAGAAGACATTTATCCGCCATCGATTATGGAAGAATGCTAAGAGAATACGTGAGGAAATGTAAATAAGAAAGTGGAAATAATATCACACATACTGTCCACTTAAATCAATGTTGTGTTCCGTATTAATTAGCACAGGAGGCCAAATACATGAGTGACAGGCAATCCCATCCAGGTAGCTGCTGGAGGACCTTCAAGTACATCCTCTGATAAATTCTTGCTTTGTTGAGGATGTTAACTCTTCAAGTAACAAAGGGGCTACCTGAGGTTTAACTGTGATCAATAAGGAAGAACTAGCTGATGATCTGAAACTCCTTCAGGGCACCACGAGTACCAACAAATAAGCACTGTTGGTAATTTCCAGAGAAGAACAGCAAATTTAAGAGGCAGCTTATAGCCGAGCCTAATAACGGTCATATAGCCATGAAGTTTAATGTAAGATAGTCTTTTTATACAAAAATTGTAATGACCTTTTTGTGCTCTAACTTCTAAAGGCAATCTTTTCCTCTCTTTTTTTCTTCCTTAAAAATTATCTCCATGCAACTGACGAAATGAAGTACGCCTTAGTGGCTATAATCGGCTTTGATCTTCTTCTGAGTTTCCTATTATCTACAAATTTAGTTAAGTGCAATGGTATACAGCACTGGATCTCAACCAGGGGCAATCTGGCCATCCTCCCCCCCACCCCAAGTTAATTTGACAATGTCTAGAGACATATCTGGTCATTACAACCGCTGTGAGGAGTGAGATATACTACTAGCATCTGGCAGGTAGAGGCCAGGTGCGCTACTAAACATTCTGCAATGTACAAGACAGTCCTCCATAACAAAATGTGACCTGGTCTCAAATGTCAATAGTGCCAAGTCTAAATAAAAAACCCTGGTAGATCAGTATACCCACTATTGGAACTTAGAAACCAAAATGAGGGGTGGTGCCTGGGTGGCTCAGTCAGTTGAGCATCCAACTCTTGGTTTCAGGTTGGGTCATGATCTCACAGTTTATGAGTTCGAGCTCAGCATCAGGCTCTGTGTTGACAGTGTGGAACCTGCTTGGGATTCCTGCTCTCCTTCTCTCTCTCTCTCTCTCTCTCTGCTCCTCCCCAACTTGCGCAAGTGCACATGCACACCCTCTCCCTCTCTCAAAATACAGAAATAAACTTTAAAAAAAAAAAGAAATCAAAATAATGTACATACATTTCCCTGTGTATATATTTGGATTCTTGCTACCTACTATGTGAAATTTAGCAAGCAAGCAATTTCACATGAGATATTCATCAGTATCCAAATTCCTTACCATCAGAACTCAAAAACAAACATCTGCAAAACAAAAGATACTTCTATTTAGTAAATTTATGAATAATACAAAACTGATAAGAATCACAGAAATTACCATACTCACTTAAAAGTACTCCATTTTGCAATTACACAAAGATAACTCCTAAGAATCACAAAAATTATATCCACTTAAAAATACTCTACTTTGCAATTACACAAAGATAATTTTACAGGAAGAAAAAAAAACACCAGAAGATACTGGTTTCACAAGTTTGGCATAAGGTCATTGAATATTTTACATACAAGAGTATCACATATTTAACTCCACTGATAGATAACAGCTATTTCCTTCAACTCAGCCAGTAAATCTTTGGGGCTGTTAAGCTTCCCACTGCATCACTCTGTGTCAACAGGGTTCAGCTTCCTCCTTCTCCTCCCTCCTAAAATGTACAGGCATCATGTCTCCACAGCACACAGCACCTAGGAAACCACATTAGCCACCACAGAAATTATTGCATTCCAGTACCTTCCGCTTCATAAAGATGAGAAGAGCCAAACATTTATTCAGTTTGGCTAAAGGATGACTAAAGATGGTAGGGAAAAATCATTATTGCCTACAAGTATTTGTACCATTGTGAAGACAAATCGCCCCAGCAGAGTCATCCACACATATTAAAGACAGAAAATACCAGAGTTATAAAACCACATGCATATGCGGCTCAGTCTAAGCGATCCTTCTGTTATATAAAGCAGTAATTCCTCATGGGGCTTGGAGCCAGAACAGACCTCTGACCATCTAACCAGTGCCCACTGAAACAGTGCAGCACCTAGTGCTGATGGACAAGAAGGACCACATGGCAGACTGGGGGCGGGGGGGAGGGGGGTGGTGGAGGAGTATCACATTCACCTGATGCCTTTCCCATCCTAGACGCTATCAAGAGTCTTAAAGTTGCTTTCAACCTGCTTGTCCTGCAACCTGGCAGGCCGGGCGACCTGTCTGGCCAGCAGGTGTAAAGGGATCTCTGTGCTATGAATAAACTGGGTTTAACGCACAGAATAACCACAGGCCAAAACACAGAAGTCTGCACCCGGGTGGTCTAGAATCAAATCCTGACTGCTATTTATTAGTTCTTTAACCCTCAGCAAGTAACTTCACTTCTTCAGCACCTAAGTTTCCTCAAGTAGGAGATGGGGAGAACAATGGCATCTACTTCCCTAGATTTAGGGAGGATTAAATGAGGTGTCACATGTAAAGCACTTAGCATGAGCCTAGAATGTAAGTGCTTAACAAATAACTACACTATTACACGTAATCATATCTGCTTACTGAAATCCTCACACAAACACAATCCTCAGAGCTGTTACTATGTTCACGTACAGAGGAGGAAGTGGAGGCAACATATAACCCAATATAATCCATCTGTGATAAGGTAATGCACCACCAGTGTTTATTAACAGAATTCAACAAGTATGTGTGAACAAAAACCATGTTTATTAATCAAATGGATGCTCAGAAATTATGAGTACCATGCTCAACATGAGTAAACACACTTACCCATCAGAAGATACCTGCTGGAATACTTCAATTTAAAAATTCTGTAACAGATTTGTAAACAGTAAACTGTCATGAAGTATGGCTGCCTTTTATATGACAGTAACAAAAAAATTGATACAGAATGACTTAAA